GGGGGGGGGCGGGGGGCTGCGGAATGGAGGAAAGGCCTCACCAGATCTGATAGTTCTTTAGGTTGCGCTCGCTGACGCTCTCAAGCCACTCCAGCTCACCATCGACGCCCATTTCGATCTTCTTCTCGTTCTCCGCGACCTGTTCTGTCTCCTGTGTATTGACGCCCCAGAGCTCACGTAGACATTTCATCCGGTACAGCCACACGGTGTAGTGGGCAGGGTTCATGCCAATGATATCCTCCGTCAACGCGAGACACCGCTCCGAAAACTCGTTCTGTGCCATCACCGCACGGAGATAGGACATGGCTTCTAGATAGCGCTTCGAGTACGCAATGGTGGCTAGTGCAGGGGCAGATTGGGTCGGTAGATCCTCACCAGGTTTTGAAGGCGCCTGGGGTGCGCCCTCCATCAAGGGAATTGGGTTGATGTCCGTCCAGAATTCAGAGGTGGCATAGAAGGGCTCCTTTGCCCTCGCCGGCGCTCGGAGGTGGGAGTAGTTGTAGGGTGCCATAATTTGGCGTGAGTACCGAGTAGGCACGCCTCGAGAATGGCGAAAGTGGAGGTCGAATTATTGTGGCAGGTTTCTCAAAGACTCTGGGATCAACCATGTGTTGTTGTCAACTCTCGATTCCGGGTTTTGATACAAATGTGAGCGGGGTTTTGCCCGCAAGGCCGCAATGGCTACCCGTTCACGACTACTGCGCTTCCTGTGGCCGGTTCGTGATAGCCTATGCAGACGCGCAATAGCGACTCGAATCTTTCGCTCTATTCTCGACTTTCGAAAACGATTGCAGAAGACTGCGATGAGCATGAGTTGGAAGACTGGAGATGATGTGAGGTCCGGGCTTAAGTCTTGGCTGCCAGTTCACCAGAGTGAATTCTCTAAATTATACATGATGTTACGATCCGCGAGCTTCGAGATGCTTTTGCTAGATACTGAGACAGCCCTCGCCGCCCTTTGCCTCATCAACGCCATCGCTATAACATTGCACACAATGAACAAGCTTTGTTCACCGCCAAAACTTCCACTCGGGGCGCTTCTCTCTTATGCCTACGCCCACCAACCTCTCGAGCCCAGCCTCGCCTTCGGCATTCATGAACTTTTGATGATCGATTTCATCGCCTCCCTTTTCCTCTGAGCCGTTGCGTAGGACAGCTGGATATAGAATGCCAACTCCATCCCCACCAAGCGTAGTCTTGTACTCCTCGAATCCGGCATCTTCGAAAGCAGAATTGACGTTGTCCAGCTGCTCACGAGTCACACTCTGTTTCAGTAACGTGATCGCACAACCACCGCCGCCAGCGCCCGTAAGCTTGGTCCAGCCCACATCTGAATAGTCAATGATTTCTCGGATACGCTCAAGCTTGGGATGTGATACTCCGAGTGAAACCAAGAGACCATGGTTGATTCGGAAGAGATCCCCTAAATGTTCGATGTTGTTTTCGGATGTCGGGTCGAAATCATCGGAGTTGATGAGATTGTATGCGGACATTGTGACCTGATCAATGGATGAAAGAGTTTGTTCTGTAACATCGGGATATTTTTTCTTTAGCAGACCGACCTTAGCAACCTCAGTGGCCGTTGACCTTGGCTGCTTGGTGTTGATGAGAAGAAGAGGTAGCTCGGGAAAGTCCTTCAACGGAGTTGCCTTTGGGGGCTTGGAGTAGTCAATGCGCTTAAAGAGCACAGCCTTGCCTCTGGTTGCCACAGTATTGTCGACGCCGCTAGGATTACCATGTATGCACATTTCGCCCACAAACGCCCACTTGTTGATTCGATCCAGCTGTAGGTCAACCTCTTCCTCCGGCTGGTCATGGTGCGGTCCTGAGAGGACGTGTATTTGCTTCAGAAGGGCAGCACTTAGGCAAACGCAAATGCCAGCACTCGAGCCTAAGCCTGCACCGATAGGCAACGTGGATCGTAGAGTGTAGATGCACGCGTGCGATGTTGAGCTGCCCAGGCACATGAAGAGGTAGAGGAACGCCGTTGCTGCGGCTTGTTGTATTCTGCGCTTCTCGGGAAGCTCGCTGGGCGATACTTCGTCGATGAACGGCTGAATCGCCGCAGATATCTCCTCATCTAGAGAGGTGACCAGGTCATAGTATTTTGGTTTCCTAACCTTGCCTTCGGTGAAGATATCCCATGGCAGGTCATCAATGTCCCAATTGTGATCAAGACCAACATCGGGAAAGACGAGTCTGACAGTTCGATGTGATTTGGAGAGACTCGTGACGAGGAGGTAAGATCGCAGAGATATCGCAGCTGCCATTGCGGCCTTGCCATGGACAACGGCATGCTCACCAAAGACTATAACTTTGCCGGGAGCAGATACCATGAAAGCAGGGGCCATTGCAGAAGATTCTTTGCGCGCGCCCTTTACGTGTAGAGCGCGGCCGTTGGTGTGTCCATTGACGCCGTTCATGATGGGTCGCGACACCATCTGCGACACAATGGTGAGGACAGGAGAGATTGAGTGAGCGGCACGGAACGTGGAATTAAGTTGGTCGAGATCACGAGGGAGCAATGCGCATGTCCTGAGAAAAAGTTTCTGGGGTGTCTGCGCGGAGTTGGACCACCTACGTCCCGGTTGTTTGACAGACCCAATCGCTACCCGCCAATTTCGAGCTTATCGCCTGTAAAGGCCCACCACATGCAAGGCACAAAGCCCCCAACATGTTTTCGCTGGATCGGCAACCCCGCTCATCCTTCCGGGTGGTGTCATACTGCCAGATGCAGCACGACTGTCACTTGGTGAGGTAGACGTCACAAGTCCTCGTACGATGCGATATCTGGACAGCCGCTAGGTGCCCCCCTAAGCCTTTCGGTCAATCTACATGGCTGCAGGTGACCTAAGGGTTGACCAGGTTTTGTTTGGTCTCCAAATATCAGGCAGTAAATCGAGTTCCGGGGGTATTCGGCATTGCAGAGTGAACAAAGACCTTTTGGTCCGTTGTCCCTAGCCAGAGCAAAGATTCCTCGCAGAATGCTGGCTATCACTTGAGGTGAGCAATGTATTGGATTTTCCGGTACTATCTCAACATTGCCAAAAGCTCGAGTGGAAGCGCTCCTCTGCGCCGAGCCAAAATGCCATACAATTCCGAGTCTGGCAGTGTATCGCATAATTCATAGTGCTCGTTATCTTAGTCTGTCCAATCCGGTCCGTTTTGAGTGTTAAGCTAAAGACCTGCCATCGATATCACGAACAGATCTTGTGGAAGAAGCCATCCAGCCACGCCTCGCTATAGGCTCCAAAGGATTCATATGAGCAAAACAATACGAATGCTCCAAGGTGTGGTGGTCGAGAAGGGTCGGATTGATGAAGCCATCAGTCGATGGGGAACATGTGCTCGTTAGCCAGCTTCGTCATGGTGAACATGTGCACCCGGTCTTGTTTGAAGACACTACGCATAGGGTCGTCGCAACGTATGTACCGCTTGTCCGCAGGATCTTGTAGGTCGTTTCCCTTGATGTGCTTCCAGAGGCGTTTCGTTACCTCGGGCCGTGAGAGCTGTCCTTGTTAGCCACGCCTGGTTTATTCGCATCATATATTACCTGTGAGTCCCCGAGAAGCGCCGTAAGAGCTGGAGAGAGGTTGAGAGGTTTCTTACGCCCCGATCAGTATGATACGCCCCTGTGGATGAACCGACTTACGTGAAAGCCGGTGTTCTTTTTTGGCTTGTCCTCGCTCGGCACATCAGAGTCATCTGATCCCGTAACGCGAGCCTGGGTCTTCTTTTTCGGAGTTTTCTTTTTCTTGCTAGAAGCGGCCTTGCGAGGAGCGCCGCCTCTTGTAGGACGGGCCATCTTGTCTTCCTCGGCCTGTAGTCTTGCAGCTAGTGTGGCATCATCCTCAATGCTGGCTTTCCTCTTCTTCCTAGGAGGCGCATCATCGATGACATCGGAGAGCTCGTCTTCAGATGCTTCGCGCTTGACTGGTGAGCTGTCGGGTGTGGGAGAGGTGTTCGACGGGTCTGAAGACTTGGACTTGTGAATGCCATTGGTATGAGCTGCAGCAGGTTCCTCAGTCTCTACCGAAGGAAGAGGATGTTCGGCACCGTTGCGCTTGGCCTCAACTACATCGAAGCGCTCGCGGACGAGCTCGTTGATAGCCGACTAGCAAAGTCAGTGCGTGCCTGATGCAAATGGCAAAACGGCTCACCTTGTGAGGAGTAATATCATATTGAACTTTGCTCTGGATAGCATTGCGCGCTTGCTTGACGGATACGGTGGTGAGATCTGCATCGTCGAGGAAGTCGTCGATTATGTTCACGTACTTCAGTCGAACCTCGGACGGGACTAGCAACTTAGCAAGCTGGCTCTTTGATGAAGGGAATAACATACGAGCCATTGTGCCGGTGTGAGCACACTTCCTGTATGCACGAAAGAGAGTACAGGTCCAGATACAAATGCGCCAGACCAAGGTGGTGAGACTACTGCATGGCAGAGGCTGGTGGAGATCGGAGTATTATGAAGCGGGGAGAGGATGCGATAGATCAGACTGCAAGAAAGTGACCCCAAGACCAACCCGATCAGTGACCGCAGCTGATTTATACGAGAAAAGGCAATACCAAAGAAAGAGACGGAGCAGCCTCAGGTTTGTGTGTTGGCGCATCGACACAAAGAAAACACACTCTAGGGAAGCAGATATAAGAACGCACGGGACACTGGCCTTGCATAGCGCCAGGGTCAGCGACGGGCGACGAGCCGGCCGCCGCCCATCATGAGTCTTCTGGGGCCAAGCGCGTGGAGTCTCGAACGCCACGCCTTGTACTCGGCTAAGGTACCCTTCAAAGAGAAATCTACTTGGCAGCAGAAAACACGTGATTAACGGAAATATCGAATGTGGGCGACCGCAGGCGGGCAACATTGAACAGGCAGTCTCTTTCCCAAGTCCTCTTGACTCACTCTTCGCTCTTTCGCGGCCATCAAGTAGTGTGTCTCGCGCCTCTGAGACACTCTCCGTCGCAATCATGGCACCCGGCTTCGATCAGTTGTCGGATCACGACTTCCACGAAGAAGATGATGAAATCGACTTCAGCGACCTCCAAGACCGCTACGATGTTCGCATGGAGGAGGGTCTCGACACCTTCGTGGTATGTTGAACACGGAACTACTGCGCAGGGCAATGGCTAATATGTGCAGGTGATCGATGGCCTCCCCGTGGTCAATAATGACCAAAAACCGAAATTGATCAAGTTCTTGATGAAGCGACTAAACTCGGCGGGTAGAATAAAGGATGGCGATGACTCGATCTATATGCCTATGAACGAGCAAGGAGTATCTGAAGGGTAGGAGCAGTCTTGACGTAGCTATCCGATTCAACTGACTGGTTTCAGGTTCGCCTTTGTCGAATATCAGACTCCCGAACAAGCCGTGGCCGCCACGAAACAGCTTCACGGCGTAGCACTCGACAAGAAACACACTCTCGCTGTCAACAAACTCACCGATATCGAAAAGTATGGTCGTGAAGGCAAGATCGACGATGAATATGTCCCTCCTGAAATCCCAGCCTTCACCGAGCGAGAGCATTTGCGGTGGTGGCTTGGTGATCCCAACGCGCGCGATCAATTCGTCATGTTCCGCGGTGACAATGTCGGCGTCTTCTGGAACAACAAGAAAGATCCTCCCGAGCAAATCGTCGACCGCAAACATTGGACTCAGCTCTTCGTGAAATGGTCACCACAGGGTACATACCTCGCCTCCGTTCATCAGCAAGGTGTCCAAATCTGGGGTGGCGAGTCATTTGGTAGAATACGCCAATTTCCTCATCCCTTTGTGAGCCTCATCGAGTTTTCGCCCAACGAGAGGTATCTCACTACCTGGTCCAATCAACCAATCGTCGTAGAAGAGGGCAAGACTCCGCTCAGCCTTGACGAAGAAGGCAAACATATTGTTATCTGGGATGTTCAAACTGGCAAGCCTCTTCGATCATTCGTCGCCTACGACCTCGCCCCTCCTGCCTCAATCGATGGCGCCATCGCCGCAAAGCCCAAGGTCCAGTGGCCTGCCTTCAAATGGTCTGCCGACGAGAAGTATGTGGCTCGGATGAAGCCGGGCGAATCAATCTCCGTCTACGAGCTTCCACGTATGAATCTTCTAGACAAGACATCCATCAAGGTTGAGGGTATCCAAGAGTTTGAATGGGCCCCTGCCACAGTGCAGCGCGAGGGTCCCAAGGTGTACGAGCAATTACTCTGCTATTGGACTCCTGAGCTGGGCTCCAACCCCGCCAAAGTCGGCCTCATGTCAATTCCGACTAAGGAAATAGTGCGGACGCGCAACCTGTTCAATGTGACCGACGCTCGCCTGCACTGGCAATCCGATGCCAAATTCATCTGTGTTAAGGTTGACCGCCACTCGAAATCCAAGAAATCTCTTGCTACCAACCTTGAGATTTTCCGTATCAAGGAGAAAGGTGTCCCAGTTGAGGTCGTCGACAGCTTGAAGGACACGGTAATCAACTTCGCCTGGGAGCCCAAGGGTGATCGCTTCGTTCTGATCACTGCCGGAGAAGCTGTCGCAGGCTCGAATGTTCTACCCAAAACAGCCATTTCCTTCTTCTGCCCTGAGAAGACCAAGGGTGGCATCACTGGCCCCTTCAAGCTGATCAAGACAATTGACAAGAAAAACAGCAACGGCATCTACTGGTCCCCAAAAGGCCGATTTGTTGTTGTTGCCACTGTCAGTGTTCAACAGCACTCGGACATCGAATTCTACGATCTTGACTACGAGGGTGATAAGCCCGAGGAGAACAATCTCGCTGCCAATCTCATGCTCATGAACACTGAAGATCATTATGGCATGACCGACATTGAATGGGATCCTACTGGTCGCTATGTTGTCACAAGCGCGTCCGTCTGGACTCACTCGATGGAGAACGGCTACCGCATCTGGACCTTTTCCGGCACGATGCTGGCCGAGCAGCCCACCGAGAAATTCAAACAACTACACTGGCGGCCCCGCCCTCCCACGCTGCTCAGCAAAGAAGAACAGCGTACCGTCCGCCGAAATCTCCGCGAATACAGCAAAGAGTTTGATGAGATCGACAAAGAAATGGAGGAGGGTGCTAACCAGGCTGTCATCGACGCCCGTAGACGGTTGTACGCTGAATGGTACAGCTGGGTGCGTGAGGAGAAGGAAATGCTGGTGGCGGAACGAGAAGAACTTGGCAAGCCGGATCCAGAGGAGGAACAGATGAAACGTGTGCGGACGAAGAGTGCGGATGGCACACAGGCGGAGGAGCAGATTGTTGAGGAAGTGGTGGATGAAGTCATTGAGGAAACCGAGGAAATTGTGTCTTGATGCACATCATCGGGAAAGTGAATGCTACCTTCGCATCAGCGCCAAGCCATACTCGATGCTGACACGGCTAATGAGAGCGGATTGCAGAGTCTTTGGATGATGATGATACGCAAGAAGTGAGCGGCTGCTATCCGCAAGGAACTTTTACGAGACATAGCATCTAGAAGCGGCGTTCCATGAAACAGCAAATCCCAAAAGTTCATGGGTCTTGGGCCATGTATTTGGTAGACAGCAGTTGCCTGGCCCACTTGTCTACAGCCCGAAAATACATGATTCATAGGACAAAGAAGAGGTTGTCATTCGAGAAAATCGGAACTATGTTCCGGCTTTTGGTATTCATTCTTGTCCGGTGTGTATGCAGAGCTTTCATGACAAACTGTCTTGCTCAGGGCGTTTTCATTCAAATATTGTAACACTTCAGAGTGTGGTATCATAATACATCGAAGTGGGGTGTTGCCATTCATTACTCTGTTCGAGGAGGCTCCCACGACCATCCAACAGACCATTCGAGACAGGTCAGGGCTTTTCGGTCAATGCTTGCTCATGCCCCAGTATAATTTCCTCCTCTCTTCCTGTTGAAAGCCCTCTGATCCTTCAACCATCGCCTGTAGCCCGACACGCTTCCAATCTTTTCGCCATAAAAGTCTGGGACAGGATTGTTGGTACTTGCACCGCTGGGATTAACACGATGCTTCTTTATGCGGTCGAAAAATGCCCTCTCTTTGATGGTGAACTCAGGCATACGTTTCCGGTAAAGCATCCTCCAGAGTCCATTGCCGAAGATGGGACCGAGTAGCCAGCCGGCGAACATGGCAACACTCACTGCGATGCCAGTGCTGAGGATGGGGTCCAGTGGGATCAGCTTAACAACGTACTCGGACTGGTCCGGGAATTGGACGAGGAAGTAGAACGTTCCTGTTGCACTGGCAAGGAGGCCAAAAAGGGAGGAGGCGAGGGAGTAGTAGCGGCGAGAGGTGCGCAGACGGAAGAAGCTGTTCCAGTCAAGAACGACCGACGATGCGGCAGGATTTTGCTGGCCAGCAGACGTTGCCGGGGTAGGATCAGCATGTTGAGATACTGTCGACGCTTTGCGCGTTCGGCAAGGAGATGATGTAAGGCACTTGGCTTGCGATGTGAGCTTCAATGTAGCTACTCGCGATTGTGGTATGCGTATTGTCGAGAAGCAGCGTCCGGAGTTGGGAATCGATGCGAGGCACTGAGGCGCAGCAAAGGTGATCGGACATTGCACAACCTGGCGCAGGCCTAGCCGCGTAGAAGTTGCGGTCAGCATAGCCGTTGTATGTGGCTCGGCTCGATGATAGAGGGCGACGAAGCTGATGGATAATTTGTGGTGTTGTCTGCGCAGTTAGCCATTTGGAATCCGGCACCTTGGAACGAAAGCCGGGTGAGCTTAGGGTTAGCGTTGCCAAGGCTGGCAGCGGGTAACAGGCTTCTGGAAAGAGCACCCGTAGCGCGTTTGGCCGGGCGCTCGATCTTTGGGGGAGGGGCGCCACGCCTTAACTGGAAGCCGTCTAGGTTCGCTGGGCAAAAGCAGCTTGATAAACTATCCCAAGACAGCCCTGCTGACTGGCTGAACGACCGTCTAGGCTGCTGACTTGAAGTCTGTCCAGGGTTGCGACAGGCTGGCTCTTTCACAAGTTTCGGGCCCACCAGGCCCGCCGTTCACCGTTCACCATTTGCCATCCAATCCCGCCCGGTGCGGCCTGAATCTGAACTCGCGGTATCGACTAAGAGAGTCGAGACTGCGTTCCTTCTACTCTATTGTCCCCAGCTGCTCTTCTCGTCCTTTTGCTGCCTGTCTTACCCTATGTCATTCTAGAAAGCCCCAGCGCGGCCCTCTCCATGACGAAACCGTTCAGACGTTTGCGCCGCTACTTGCGGTAGCCTGACCATACACTTAATGCCCCGACCCCGGAAGCCAGAATTGGAGGGAAAAGAGGTCAAGAAACGGTCAAGGAATGGTTGCTGGTGAGTTGGACTCCTTCGAAGCCTTCCGGTCTATCGCTGACATTGCTCGAGGCCATGCAAGTCGCGCAAAGTGAAATGGTACGTCCATAGCGCCGATCGCTCTCTTGCTCGCGCGACCCGCTGACCAAACCCCAATAGCGGCGAAGAGAAGCCAGCGTGTATCAACTGCCAGCGCCAGGGTGAGAAGTGCGACTACAGTATTCGCCTCAACTGGGATGGCCGTACAAAGAAGAAAGAGGAGGGTAAGGCTGGCTCGCATATCATCTCCTTCTCACCCACACCGTCTTCAGGCCAGAAGCGAGGTCCGTCTAGCCCAGACCTGAACGGCCATGTCATCTTCTCCGGTGTCTCCCCCATGCCTTCGGCGCAGAGTCCTATGCCGTCGTCCATGCCAGCCATCTCGTCGGCACCCCCACTTGGACTACAAGGATCCCCGATACCACCCACAGGGCATTACGGAAGCAATGTGCCCGTCCCCGGTTCTGAATTTCCGTCAACCCTGCTTCCGACACCGCCGGTCTTGAGGAATCCCACATGGGGCGACCAAAGGAGTAATGGAAGCTATCAGAATCCGGTCCTTGGTCCCCAGCTACGCCATCAACAGGCTCTCGCTACATCTCCATACCCCTCACCGCAAGAAAGTGGTTTTGGCAGTCCAGGCCTGAATGCTGGCATGTACAATCCTGCCGCATACTCGGCGCAGATGCCGCCACCGATGGCAACTTCGAATCCCTTTAGCCTGGGTGAATCTGTTGGCTCACCCTTTAACTCCGCAAAGCGGGTGCGACTTTCTCCGCAAACCGACTCCTTCGCCGCACATGGCTCGGCTTACCAGAGAAGCATGGACAATTCCTCCCAGTCTCTCTTTCCTTCGGGATACAACCTCAATCCGCTGACACCCGCCGCATCTTCGGCCTCCATCTCCCAGGACAATGACGACCGGCGTATCTCAGTGAGCTCACTTCTGTCGGATGATCCTGGCCCACCAAGTAGCAAGCGGACATCTGCAAGCGACTCAAATCAATCCGGCCCTACTTCAGAACCCGCAGCTCCACCCAGGCGTGGTTCACTTTACCAGCGGATGATATCCTATTCGGAAACAGAGCTCTACGGGCACGACCGTGGAGCCCCTGATTGGGATATCCCGCGCAACAATGATACCATGGCCATTTCTGGAAACTCGCCTTCGGAACACAGCGATTTCAGTTCCTGGTTGGAGGCTGAGTTCGAAGACTCCAGTTTCGGCTTTGGTATTGCCAGCCGGGATACAGCATTCGCCAGTGGCGGATACTATGCAACGCCAGTTCCTATCAAAATCCCACGCAAGCTCGAGCCACTACCACCAACACTGTCAGAGAATCCCATGAACTTGCTGTACTTCCATCACTTCCTGAACCATACTGCTCTGATACTGGTCCCGCACGATTGTCCCGAAAATCCTTTCAAGACTATTTTGCCCAAAAGTTAGTTGACCCCTCTCTGATTCATACTTGCTGACGGTTCGCAGTGGCTGTGGATAACCCCAACTTGTTGAATCTCATGCTTGCCTACTCGGCGTGCCACCGAGCCCGGCTCTTGAATCATCCAGAACCCACGCATCGAATTGCGCTCTGGGTCCAGGATGTCTTTCCTGCACTCCGCAGTACTCTAGACGATGTATCGAATACCGATACTACCAACTCGAACCTTGCAACGGCTATCATGCTGACTTCACTGGAAATAATCTCACCTGCCAGCTTTGGCGTCAATATTCCGTGGCAGAATCACCTGGGTATTGCCAGAGAGATCATACGCTCCAGAGGAGGGCCACATTCAGTCTCCAGAAAGGACCCCGTCATGTATTTCCTGACTCGTTGGCTTGCCTACCTTGACGTTCTAGGATCTCTTTCTGGTCGTAGAAACGAAGAACCGCTTTTCGCCGGCAACTACTGGTCCAGCTCACATGATGAAGGTTCCTCGGCTAAAGAACTATCACTCGACGATGATGACGGCGACGATGAAGATGACTACACGATCGACTGCCTTCTAGGCTTCACGACTCGTTGTGTGTCTATACTTGCACAGATATCTTTACTGGCAAGGGAATGCGAAGCTGATCGTATCAACACGGAAACCGGCAGTATTAATACAGACTGGCGCCCCGGTCCCGATGTTCTAAAGCGCGCCGAAAAGCTCCGCCGAGACCTCGACCATGCTCGTACCCACGAACAGAAACAATGCACGCACCACAGCCCACAACTCTCCAAGGCACAGCTGATCAAAGAAGCCAGCCGGGCGCCGCCAGAACGACGATATAGCTACGTGCACATGACTGACCAGGACGCCGAGGAATCACTTGCTACCAATTTGGCCTTTCACTGGGCGGGAATGATTCATCTGCTACGCCGAGTGCACAACCTCCCACGGACCGATCCAGAAGTGCAAGATGCGGTACGTGAAATCGTCAAGATCTTGTCACGGATAAGGGAGAGGGGAAGCGCAGAAGCCTGCCTACTGTTCCCTACCTTTACAGCTGGTGTGGAAGCGGAGAGCGAGGTGGATCGAATGGAGGTCTTGACAAGGATCAGGGGTGCAGAAGGCCTGGGCATGTGTCAGGTCAGTAGGGCACGGAAGGTTATGGAGGAGGTGTGGCGGACAGGCGAGAGTTGGGAGACATTTGTCAATGGGGAGTTCTTCGGCTGATTGTCTGGGCCACTTTTTCTTTCGCAACTTATCTCGAGCGAAAAGTTGGGCAACATAGCGTCGTACGGATCGGCTGACTGATCCCGCGCCGAACGTTATGGGCCGCCTAGGCGAAACGATGTCTTTCGATGGCTGCCATGCATGTGAGGGCTGGCTTTACGTTCAAGTTATCGAGATTATCTCGCCTTGGTCGCTATAGAGTTGCTCATCTAGTTGCGAGTATGCGAGCGTAGGTGTTCACTTGGGATTTGCGCCCAATTCAGATTTGTTGCGCCTTATGCGGCTGTTGCTGACATAGGCTTCACCTTCCGTTACGTGGATCTGTTCGGACAGCGTGGCGCTTCTGTATGCGGCTTTCACTAGTATTTGAGCAAGTGTTCCTCCGCCAGTGGACACGACTGCGCTACCATGGGTTGTCAAACTAAAGCCGTGGCTTCCCAAACGATTGTTCTCCCAGGGAGGTGTCTCGACTATCTTAGTCTACTCCTCCATACCATCCCCCCCTAGACAGGCGTTCGTCATCCCGAGTTGCTCCATATAGTAAGTAGAAGTGCTGGCCCCCATTACGTACGCACTTTGCTCCGCAGGAGGTGTGCCTTTGGCTCTTTCGTACCTGTCCTGACCGCTCACACAGAATGTAAGCTGACCCAGGGCCTCGATTGCCGCATGTACTCATTTCTGGTGAACGGCTTGTACCAGGAACTGTTGACTCCAAACACGTGTCCCATCTCCAAGGGATACGCTTACTGCGATCGTGGCTCAGGCCTCCATCAGCGACTTTGTTTGCCATTCTTGGCGGTAGTTTGGCGGTTATGGCTTGCGTTTGCGAGGATCTGCGATGGCGTGAGAGGTGGGTATGAGCATTCGTGCCTTATGATCTAATGGCAAGACATCGCGGCCAATGTCCTGATTCTAGAATCGGCTTGCCGGCTATGAGTACGGCTGCTGTGGAAAGTCTGTGTGGCGTAACCTGTGGTACACCGGGTGGCCTTAAACCTTTGACATCGAATAGAGGAATCAGGTTAGAGGCACATCTTCCGGGCCCCAGCGTAGGTTTCTGTATTCTTCGTTGCTGAGGCTAGCAAAATCCTTTTGTAGGGGCACCTGAACTTCGGTACCAGATGCGCGGACGATATCAGTCAGTTCCATTTCCGCGCCAGTTGCGTCTGGGAAAGCGCTTTCGAACTTGGTCTCGCCATTCAGGAGTCTCTGCGTGTTGATGCGAGTCGAGAAGACAAGGCGCTCGGAATGGCCTCGTTCAACTATTTCACCCTCGGACGCGTTGATATCACTGTCACGTGACGTGTTGCCGGGGGCACGATAGAGTCCCACGATCGAAGGATAGGCGGACACGCATCTGAATCCCAAATCTCGATCCTGGCACATGCTGTTGAGGCCCCAATCACCAGGGCTGTTGAAAGGGAGCATGCTCAAGCGATAGACCGCTTTCTGGGCACCGCGAAGGGTGAGCGCGTATGACATTCTGCAGCAACCGCCAAGGGCAGGAAACACCACGCGCGTTTTGTTGTCTGTGTTTGGGCTACCTTCCCATCTTGACATGTCTGGTTTGCCGACGTCGAATCGTGACTCAGGAGGCGTGACTGTTAGGTCGTTGCGAATGACGTAGCGTCGATCAGTCCACGGAGCGGGTGCCGTTCCACAGTGACCGATCCAAAGTAGATCCCAGTTATCGCCATATGGGGAGTTCGGGTTACTCTGCTTCTCGTCCATGCTGTACCTGGCTCCCTTGGCTAATTCGATCATCTGAGCGCGAAGGCCAACGTCCCAGTCAGCATCGTCTTCAAATATGATGGTGGAGCTAACGCGGCGGCGGATCATGTCTCTCCAAACGTTCAAATGCGCTCGCCAGCATCCCAAGACCGAGGGCTTCTGGGCCATCGTGTGTGGTAAGGCCTGTGAAGAAATTGCGGAGCCATCGACGCCATCGGTGATGTTGAAATCGAAACCGCTTAAGGAAGCCGAAACTGCGAAAGCATCTCGTTTGTCCGTTCGGTGAACCATCGATATCATCTGTACTTCTTGGAACTAGCTATTGTCAGCACTAAGAACTTGATGAGAATGAGATAACGCACACCAAGGGTGCGGTTCAAAATGTCCACCAGATTGGTGGTTGCGGATTGACCACCAAGTTGGGCGGAGTACAGGGCCGAACTAGCTTCGTCGAGAGCCCTTTGATACCATGTTTGCAACCCAGGTGAGCTATTGTGGGAGGCAGCCAGTAAAATGAGGAAGACTGTAAGCGTAGACGCTACAATCATTCGGAACCACAGTCGAGGCATCGACATGATGTTGTTGACCTGAGAGAAAGGGCAGATTCGGGTGAAGAGAGCGAATAAAGATCTTGAGAAGGGTTCAGGCGTTTGCTGCACGCCCCTACGATCACGTTGCCTCCCTTGCCAGGCCACATCAAGGCTGTAATATCCTCGTGTGTCCTTGAGGGTGCAAAGTGCGCCGGAAGGGCTGGTCAAAAGGGATCGGACATACCTGTGTTGTGAAGAAGGGGCAGGCCATGCTGACGACACGTCGCTCGTGGCATTTCTATTTGGAGCTCGCCTAGCAAGTTGGCAAGAGAATTGAGAGGTGGTGAGTTGGGGGTGCAGGAACAGTCGGCACGCCAGCGCACACCCTAACTAAACCTTATCTAATCTCCGCCATTCCGTACCGGCTGGGCATCCCTTGGCGATTCCAGATGTTTCAGGTTGAAGACATGCTTCACAATAATACCCCTTGCTATGCAACATTACACGTTCGGTTGTGTTCGACTGTGTTCACTTGTGACTTTCTTTGACAGTTGTGAAGGGCGGCGCCACCCTCAAGGTAAATGTGTCGTGCTCAAGACACAGAACAGGTAATTTGCTGTGAGACCACCGTGTGCAAAAATAAAAGCACCCTACCGCATCGCTCAATGTCCCGTTGATAATACTTGTCGTTCAGAGTGACCCGCATCCCTGCTTCCTTCTACTGGTTCTACAGCTTAAGTTCGGTCCAAAGCACACGAAGTGATTGCAGAGCCAGACGGCTTTCTTCGGCTGGAGCACTCCCGCTATTATAGGCCACATTGACAAGGCTAACATTAATGGTATTCTGGCGGCCTCCGGGCAATATCGGCAAACTGCATTAGAATTTTCGTAGTCGACAGGAGGCTTCCTCTCGTCATAAGCCAATTGATGGCAGCTTCTCCCAAGCACAGTCGGACTTGTGCTCTGATTACTATAGGCTTGGGCTTATGCTCACTCCGACATGAAAGTGAAAGATAGGACAGGCTCAGCCAGGGGTCAACGGGATCGACACGCCAGCTCCTGGGAATTTACAACGGAGATCCCAGCGTGTAAGCTGATGTTACTATAGTAGCCCGCGCATCACTTGGCCGACCCCTGTGCTCGTAAATTGACTACAAACCCTGCCCCTAGGCCAACGAACTGCTACGTACGCCGCTCGCTTCAGCAGGCTCCTGCTTCGCAGCAATGTTCTCCGCCTGGACTGCATCTGCTCTGCGAGCTTCATGATGCTTGCTAATCGACCTACCACCCTGCGACAAACGCAAACGATCCGCTGATACGAGCTCTTCGCCGTGAGGCGCTTCCCATTTACTTGACTTCCACGGCTTGACCTCCAGTAAGAACATTGTGTCAATCTCTTCGAGAGAGCGACCAGACCTGTCATAGTTAGATTGATGTCAATCTTGTCGACCATTCGTGAGGGGTGCACTTACGTCTCGGGAAGGAAAAAGAAGACCAGGATCACAGCAAGGAAGTTGCAGGCCGCAAAGACGTAGCCGTAGGCGAAGGAAATGGAACTGGTGATAAAGGGGGTGGCGAAACCAATGAAAAAGTTGAAGGACCAGTTCGATGCGGCGCATAGCGCGATGCACACTGAGCGGTAGCGGCTGGGATAGATCTCCGAGGTTACAGCCCACGCCATCGGACCCCATGTAGATGCAAATGCTGCGATGAAGAGACAGGCGAAGACGATCATCACCATGCCGATAGTTCGGTCGTTGCTGCCATCGGGATTCTCGAGCGCGAAGTAGCCAAGCGAGGCGAAAACCATGTAGCACATAAACATCCAGGCCGCTCCTATGGAGAGGCACTTCCGACGGCCAAACTTCTCGACCATGTAAAGACCTGGGAAAGTTGTAACAACGTTGACGGCGCCGAGGATGATTTGCGTAATAAATGGATCATCCAAGCCTACCGAAGTGAAGATGGTGGTGCCGTAGTAGAAGAAGAAATTGGCGCCAGTCATCTGCTGGAGGGCCTGGATCGCAATACCGAGGAGGGTTCTGTAAAACATGCGAGGCCCGGTGACGACTTCCCAAACAGAATGCTCTCCACCTTCGCGCTCCATTTGTAGTTTGTATTGCATTTCTTCGAGTTGCTTCTGGATGATCTGGTGCTTCTCGCTAACACCATAGAACTTGGCAATGCTTCGCGCCGCAATATCGACCTGTCCATGGCGATAGTCGTGGCGAGGAGTCTCGGGAAAGAAAAGGATCCCAAACCCGAGAATTAGCGCCCAGAAGAAACTTATGCCGACGGGAATCCGCCAGGAAGCGCTTCCTGCGATACTCTCGGTGCCAAAGTTTATGAGATATGCGATCAAGATGCCCAGAGTGATGAAAAGTTGATAGCAGCAGACGATGGCTCCTCGTAGATGTGTGGGAGCGCTCTCGCCTTGATATGCCGGCACCATGACAGAAAGACCTCCGATAGCAAAACCACTGATGATACGACCAATCATCATAACATACCACACGGGGTAGCGTGCGGCAATTTGGAAAACGTTGCCGATGCAGAATATGATACACCACATGCAGATGGAGTATTTGCGACCAATGCGACGATTGTTGGCAACGGGGCCGGCGATGAGCGCGCCAATCAGCGTTCCGATGGAGAGCATGGCCACGAGGAGACCAGTGCGGATATCGCTAAGCTCGAGTGTCTCACGATCGTCGGCAAACTGAAGATGTTAGAGCTGGCCGAGTTGTCGGGTAGGGTTGCGTACCTGATATTGGAAGTCCTCCATCTGTAAAAAGCCGCTGATTTGGCCTGTATCATAGCCGAAGCAGATACCGCCCATCGAGACCAGTATGGTCATAAAGAAGGTCCTCGCCGTCATGAAGGGAACTTTAGAATCATCGTTGAAGGCTTCCTTGGCGGGAATTCCCGGTACGTCGTGTTGGCCATCGCCAACGGTCACGGAGGACCGTGCTGAAGCTGTGGGGCGCTCAGGGTCGGCAGTCATTGTTGGGGGTCCTCGAGAGGTGTGGATGACAGGACAGCATTGACACAACGGCGAAAAGAGGTCATATAGAGTCGGGCGCGACAAGACGTCATCGATCTTGATGGTAAACAAGCATTAGAGTGGGAATCAGCTGCGGAGCGGACAAGGCTTGGAAGGTCGTGTGAAGAAGAAAAGATTTTTTTACTCCGCAGAAACGGCGCACGTTGCTCGGCGTCGACATCATCGACAGACGGGTCCGGTGGATGGAAACACATATCATGATAGAGGCTGTGTGCAACTGTACGCGCTTGGCAACCAGTCGAACGCGGCCTTCGCCATTTTCACGCTAAACGCCTTGTCTTGAGGTAAACCTGAGGTAAACCTGAAGTGACTTTGAAAAAAGTGGCTAATGAAACCAGGACCATTGCGCAGTGAGTGAGCCGATAGAGTGTGATTGCTATGCCATCAGGCTCGAGGCAAAGTCGCTGGGCTTTCATGCATCAGGTACTCGAATGGTCTGATGGTGTGACGTTTCAGCGAACGAAGAATAGGTCTTCCGCATTGACGTCAGGGTTGTAGAGATGTCAAGCCAAGCTTTGTGAGGTTGTCTTGGCGAAGTTGTGCTGTGCTTCTGTAACTCTGCATTATTTTCTGGCTCCCCTCGCGCCGGCTTCAAGACGCGTCGAAAAGCGCCGCTTTCCGTAACCCAGCCCCGCCTGCACTCGTCGAAAAATCCTTGCAATCCTGATATCGAGTTCTCCCGCGATGACTGCTTGCGCAAGTGATATCGTGCTAAAGATTCGCCTTTCGATTACGAGTACGCGAGTTCTCTGGCACTCTTCCGACTGCTTCCTGGAGCAAATCGGATTCAGGCATACCTAGTGTGTGAGTTATCGAAGAACAAGAAAGGCAGCACTGGATCAGATCGAGGCAGCACTGTCCACATTCCACTCAGCAAGTGAATACATGTCACAACCACAATCGAAACCTGTGCGATGCCGCCAGGAGGCCGTTTCGTTTCCTAGCCTCGAACACCTTAAAACTCGGGAATCGCTCTCGTCGTGAGTTCTAGCTGCGGTTAACGGAGGACTTTCTCTCGCAGCATTCGATGTCCGCGCCTGGGAGTCATGCTAATCATCTCAATCCATACACGACTCTGACACAAGCGTAGCACCAGCAATTGTACGGTATACTGACGTTACTATGAGTAAGACGAAGTGCAAAGAAACAGACGACCTGTGATCACGCTGCGACAAAGCTGTGGAGGCAGAGATCGCGAGAGTGGTCACTTTCAACTCTTGCTGGCTCCTACTGCTGCGCCGCAGGTGACCAAGCGTAAGGCGGATTCGAAGCCCCAACGAGGCGACGCCACTGCCGGCCGAGCCTATCTTGACCACTGATGCGACTGGCCAACCTGGTGTGTACCGTCAGCTGCGGGTCAGCAGTCGCGTGCCTCATCGCTTGATCAAGCTGAGGACGGGGTTTGCACGTCCAATCATCTCTCAGCCTCCAAACCTTGAGACAGTGACAACACATCTCAACTTGTGATCCGAACACTTCATCCCTAACTCCGTTACCGCCAACCGACCTCATGTGAAAGCAATCTGCAGAATGTTCTCGTCGATCCGTCTATCGCTAGGGGTTCTTGCGTTGTCTACTATGAAAACCTGGTTTTCCTGAGCTGTGCAAAGCCAGTCGGGCTCGCGCGGATGCTGAGTCTCACAACTTGCCTGAAGCATACGATGCTGTGGGCCTTTAACTCGATTCCTGTTCGCTAGGCCGGATTGCTTGTTGAAAAATGACGATAGCCGCATCCTATTCACCACTTCAGCATTGTTGGCCTTATTCGATACCCGCGAGATTGCTGCCTCACAAGCTTCCTGAGGCGCACTGCCCCCCGCTGATCAAAGGCCGACGTCCAAGTACATCAAGACCCCCAGTATGTCCCACGTACGAAACGATGGCCCGATTCCACCGGACAACCCATGGGGCAGGAGATCTTGTTCCCCGATACACAGCCTCGTTCTCTTTCATCTACTTGTCCTCAAATGCTAATCTTTCTGCGCTTTTTGTCTTGTATCACTACTCGTTTTCGCGTTTAGAGCAGGCGTCTCGTATCAAGCTGCGCATCCGACCTGTCACAGCCCTTCCCTCATAGAGTCACGTGCTCGTATCAAACATGGGCTTTCTCGGCCTCGGAGAACCATCCCTGGGTACATTCATCATCTGCCTCGGTGCTTGGATCAATCGCGACTTCAAAACACCCGCCATACACTCTAAAGATGCCACACAGCGAGACGATGTTGGAGCCGAAATGGCATTCAATGACATCAAGGTCGAAGAGCCCTCCATTTTCTTCCCTGGTCAAGACAAATGGCGTTCACGAGAGCTATCGATGCTGGGCTATCGAGGATTCATCCACGCGCCAAATACTACCATGTTCCAGAATCGAATTCTCAGTCGTGTGCTCTTGCGGTTCCCTTTCATTCTGGAGATTATCTACTGGGCACTAATATATTCTGTCTACCAAATGGCAAGAGGGTTTCTGGCTAAACGATTGAACGATCAGACCATTGATATTGCTTGCCGCCACGCTCTACAGGTAATACGACTCGAACAAGGCCTTCATATCTTCTGGGAGCTCGAGATCCAGCGATGGTTCTTGCAATATCCTGGGGTTATGTACTGGATCAACCGAATCTACTCCTTCGTTCATCTGCCTGCTACGATTTCGTTCTTGGTCGGACTCTACTGGTTCGCAATCACACGGAATCGCGGCCGTACAACCACGGAACATGTGGGGCCATATCTCTATGAATCAAGACGACGAAGTCTTGCGGTTAGTCATCTCAATCCACCACGACCACATCTGATTGGAAGCAGATCTGCAACCTATTGGCTTTCTGTGTTTTCTCAACGTGGCCTTGCATGCCTCCCAGGCTCCTAGGCGACTCAGAATCACCTGGTGAAGTGGGTGAGCTTGCCCGGAGCTTTAGCTTCGTCGACACAGTGCATGGAAGAAATGGAGCAGTCTCAGTTTTGTAAGTTCTGCCTCGGTTGTTAAATTGAAGCTAATCAAGCCACAGCAACACTCGACAGTATACGAATCAGCTTGGTGAGTCTTGCCGCCCCCGCTTCTTTGCCCTCCTAACATGAACAGCTGCCATGCCGTCTCTGCACTTTGGGTATTCGCTGCTTGTTGGGCTTTCCATCATGCGGCTTCCTATCGCGCATCCTGGCCGTTGCTACCGCTTAGCGTTACCGTTGCCCTGGTATAAGCCAGAAGCCGAGTCGTGGGCCCTTCCAATTCGAGTGCCATCTCTTCCGAAGCTGCTGTGCGAACTCATTGGATTTCTTTACCCCTTCATGATTTTGGTAGCAATTGTCAGTACAGCCAACCACTTCATCCTGGACGCGATTGTTGGAGGATCCATCTGTCTTGTGGCGTTGCGATACAACGAGTTCATGTTGAATTTTCTACCGATCGAAGACTGCGTCTTTTGGTGCTTGCGTATTCATAAGCCGGTCCAACAGCCGATTCACCTGCCGACAGAAGGTCGAGATTGAGTTCGCGGAAGTGTTCCCTCATGAATTACCAGGCTTTTACGAGGATCGGGCACTCGAGCCTGGCGGAGAATCGCTGGAATCGTTGCAAGATGACCCCTTGTCGATAGAAGTAGACTATTAACTTGCTAATCGGCTTCGATTGGTCTTGGTCAACCGGCTCAGTCAATGATGGTTCTGCTCTGCGAATAATTCGCAGATGTCGCAAGCTGTTAGCTGCTGGCACAGGAGGCAATTGCCGAGCTAGAATCCGGGGCGGAAAGCTGCCGACGCCAAGCAAAATTCGGCCGCGTCAAACATCTCCGGCGCATCCGCAGTCTGTTGGAAGAAGACACATTGGAAATACTTTGAATACTGCAAGTCGTCTATCCGAAACTTCCTCGGCTCCAAAGTCTTCGAGTAGCCAAGATGCCACGTTCTGTCGCTACATGTCAAATTACTGGCGCTTGAAGAGAAAAACCGATCTGCTGAGTGGTGCCCATCCTCTAAGCGAAATCTTGTCAGATGAAAATCCAAATGGTACACCTCGGTGCTTGTGCGGTCCCCAAACATCGTATATGCTTTTCGGTATCGCTAGGATGTACATGGCCGGCCTTCAGAGTCGGTGACAATTTCTCACCAGCCGGCTTCACATTTCGAGCCAGTCTAGAGCCGCGGCCTATTCATGGATGGAATACTAAGCATCGTTCGCTCCCCCCAAACCTGCGGGGTAAAGCTTACTGCGGGGTGATCACCCATTGACTGGGGCGGCAAGCGGAGGCGGCAGACCAGCTGGGAGCGGAACCTTGCTAGCACCAACCCTTTCGCAATTTTCATAGGCTTGCCAAGCCCTTTCTTAATGATCGGATAGGGGGCTGGAAGCAACATTTCACGTGGCACTGTGCATGTTCCGGTGTCCGTAGTTCGCCCTATAAGGTCCAGATCTCCGGGCTCCCATCAGCTTTCACCCTGACAATTGCAACATGGCCGACATCTCCGAAAAGCCCGGGTCTTCGACCAACGAAGACCTGTCGGGCAAAGCAGCTATTCATGATGAAACTCTTCACTCAGCAGCCGAGCGTGGTCATGCGGCCACAGATTTGTAAGTGATGTGTCGTTGCTGGAAGCCCAGGCTAACATCTTTAGGTACGGTCAATCACTCTTGGCCTTCGACAAGGCAGCCGAGTCGCGTCTTCGTCTCAAGATTGATCTCTACATTATCCCCACGGTGGCGATCCTGTATTTATTCTGTTTTATTGATCGTGCCAATATTGGTTAGTGGTGCACGCGCTTTTCATGGCTAGTGTTAACATTCGCAGGCAATGCACGCCTTGCTGGTTTTGAAATGGACTTGGCCCTGCAGGGATACGATTACAATACTGTTCTGAGTGTCTTCTACATCAGTGAGCTCCAACGTCCCCCCTCTCGAAGCCAAACTGATGACGATAGGCTATATCGTGTTCGAAATTCCCAGCAACATGGCTTGCAAATGGATCGGACCTGGATGGTTCATTCCCGCAATCTCCCTCGGCTTCGGAATCATGACCGTCTGCTTCGCTTTCGTCCGGACCTTCTCTGCCGCTTGTGGTGTCCGCTTTCTTCTTGGACTTTTCGAAGCAGGCATGCTTCCAGGCATAGCGTACTATATGTCGCGATGGTACCGCAGGGCAGAGCTTGCTTTCCGCTTGTCCATGTACATCGTCATGGCACCCCTCGCAGGTGCCTTTGGTGGCCTGTTGGCTTCTGCCATCTTGAAGCTCGACAATTTCGGCAGCACGCGAAGATGGGAGATGATTTTCGCCATCGAAGGCATTGTCACCATCTGCCTCTCGCTCATCGCCTTCTTCACCCTTACCGATCGTCCGGAGACAGCCAGATGGCTCACCCAGGAAGAGAAAGATCTCGCCATCGCTCGTGTCAAGTCGGAGCGCGTCGGCACGACTGAGGTTCTTGACAAGCTCGATACGAAGAAGACGCTTCATGGTATCTTCAGCCCCGTCACCCTAGCAACGTCGTTCATCTTCCTGCTCGACAATATCACGGTTCAAGGCCTCGCATTTTTCGCTCCTACCATCGTTCGTACAATCTACCCAGGGAGCTCAGTGGTATCCCAGCAGTTGCACACTGTGCCTCCCTACATCGTTGGCGCCTTCTTCGTTGTTGCCTTCAACTTTCTGAGCTGGAGAATGGATAAGCGAAACATCTTCTTCATCATGAATGCGCCTTTGATGATGGCAGGCTACATCATGTTTCTGGCCAGCACCAATCCCAACGTGCGATACGGTGCAACCTTCATTATCGCATCTGGAGCTTTTGCATTTGGAGCGCTCTGCAATGCGCAAGTGAGCGCCAATGTTGTGTCAGACACCGCTCGCTCAAGTGCCATCGGAACGTAAGTTGCATCCTTCTTTGTCTGATCTTGCTGACAAAATCAGGAACGTGATGTTTGGTAACGTTGGTGGTCTCATCTCAACGTGGTCATTCCTTCCATTCGACGGCCCGAATTACCACATCGGCAATGGGTTGAACTTGGCAACGTCTTCGGTGATCCTGATCTTGTCAATTCTTCTGGGTATCTGGATGAAAGCTAGCAATGCTCGGCGGGATAAGAAGAATGTTGAGCAGGAGTTGGAAGGAATGAGTCAGCAGAAGATTCAGGACTTGGACTGGCGGCATCCTGCTTTCAGGTGGAGATCTTGAATGTACGGGACAGCTACGACGAAAGGTGTAGCGAGGTACAGCTTCTACGTCACACTCAGATCAGCTGTAGTGCCATTCGACTTGAAGCATATCCAAGGCATTCCGCTTGATCTTTCTCGAATTGCCAAAAATCGCACTCTTCCGGGCTCGAATATGGTAGTTCGCAGCCTTCGCACCCTTTTGGAGCCGATTGTATCATGTGAGAATTTGCTGAGAGACATACAGGTGAAGAGCTCGACGGACTTCAGGCTGCCGTTTGTCGCGATTCAGGACATCGAGAAACGAAGAACATTGCCAAGATTTTCCGACGCAGTGGACCACGTGACTTCTGGACTCCATGCAAATGCAACGGGGTCTGGCCTACGACTCTGAGTTGTCGCTGTTGCCTCCGAGTGCATCGCGCTTTGCTGTTGCGCGCTCCATATTCTGAATGAAAGGTCAGATGCTTCACTGTTATTCGATCTTTTTCGGTGCCGCTCCGGCCTACAGGTGACTCAGTAGACACGGATCTCTCCTGCGACCGATACGTTATTGCGCGTTCACAGCAAAGCACCCGAAGATCAATGATGACAACGTGGAATCCGATAGTGAACTTTGAAAGGTCCAAAGACGTATCACACCAGATAATGAAAGGCCAAGGGGATATCCACAAAGCGAAGACTAGGTCTCATCTGAAAAACCGGGTCCACGATGATAAATAGCGACCAAAGTGTTTATATCGGCAAACGTAGTACCTACTGCCTGATTACCCAGACAAGCAATCAAGACCTTCCAAAAAGCGCAGTCTCCCCGTCAGTGCGCCATGACGAGAAGCACACGTGCTGACGGTTCTTTCCCAGTATGCAGCGTTCGGCTCTTCGACCTAATTATTCATCAATAAGCGAATCATACTCGCATTCTGAGCAAACTTGCGTCAGTCATCGAAGCTCAACCAATCACAGGCCATTGAAGCAGTGCCAGATTTGATATTGACCAAGACACAAGCACTTTTCTGCTTGCCCAGGCTCAGCTACCTATCTTCGACTTCCTAAGCGATGGCCTCAAACCTGATGGTAGGTTCCAGCAATCGCACAGTTCCGCATCCAAGATGGGTCGTGTTGAGTCCATCTCCACCTCGCTATTGATATAAAGCCTGGCCTGTGCCCGTGAGTCTGCTCTGACTTCCATTTAACCCAACATAATCTTCGACTTCGCGGCAGCAACATCAACCTCTCCGAACAATCAATCGCAAGAATGTCTCCTCCGAAACGCGCAGTGATTTTTGTCACCTCTGCCACGGCTCCGCTGCACGATGGGAATCCAACAGGTCTCTTCATCTCAGAAGCTCAGCATCCGTATCAGGTGTTGACCAAAGCGGGTTTCGAAGTCGATCTCGTGTCTGAGACGGGCACGTATACCGAGGACTGGCTCAGTATGCAGGATAGCTTCCTCAATGGCTCCGATAAAGAGGAATATGAGGACAAGAACAGCGTCTTCCGCAAGAAGCTCGACAACATGCCCGATGTTAGCAGCATTGACGGCAAGAAGGTGAGTGCGTTGCTGATATGTGGTCCCAGCTGACGGCGCAGTACGGCCTCTTCTTCGCTAGTGCCGGCCACGCAGCTCTCATTGATTATCCGCACGCGAAAGGTCTTCACAAGATTGCTTCGGACATCTGGAATGCAGGTGGTGTCGCTGCAGCAGTGTATGTCTTTCACGCAATGTGCTTCGCGTGCTGATTAGTCAGGTGCCACGGACCAGCGATCTTTCCCGGTGTTATCGACGCATCGACTGGCAAGTCTGTCATCCGCGGCAAAGTCATTACCGGTTTCACCACCCAGGCAGAGAACGACATGCATATCATGGAGCCGATCCGATCATGGAACGAGCCGCTCATTGATGAGTGGGCTAAGAAGCTTGATGCGACGTGTAAGACTGCCTATGACGCCTTGAATGTTGCTGACGAGTACAGACACAAGAGCAGAGAATGTATGGGGCGATTTTGTGGTTGCAGATGGACGTGTTGTTACAGGGATGAATCCACAGAGTGCAAAGTCGGCGGCGCAGGCAGCAGTGAACGCATTTGAGCAACTGTGAAGATGACAGTGTGGCGTCGACAGCAAGCTTCTCACGTACAGGTGCAGATAGACTTGCTTATCATTAAGTAATCTTCAAGCTCACTGTTCCATTTTCGCGGAGTGATTGGGACTGCTGACGGCCATCTAGAATGTTCAGGGTGACTCGAGCAAGTTGCCGACCGTCTACCTAGTACCTAGTAGATGCCGGAGAAGGAGGTCCGGGGTTAGTCGAAAGTGGTGGGGCGAAGACAAGGAGCATATGAACAAGCGGCAAATGCACATTGAGACAGAAGACGAGCATTTTGAACAGCCTCAAAGAGCAGAGCAGTGCGATTGATACCTACAGGTACCTACCAGCCTCTATGCAAAAGAGTCAACTCCGAATTAGTGTAGAGTCAGGATAGAGTTGAGCCCCAATCAGAGCAAAGTCACAGTTAAAATCAAGGCTAAGCTGATCGCGCGCTAACGTCTGGCTAAGCTATTATGATTCGTGAAGCCTAAGATTCCTGGCTACAGTATCTTCGACTTGCGTCAGCCGTATTAAGAACATCATACTCACATTAAACGCACATCAGATATGAAAGCCAACTACAGTGGCCTATAGAGCTGATTATATCTACAGTTGCCTGCTGCTTACCTATAGCGTTGTCGAGCAGGCCTTGTTGCGGTAGCTCAAAGACCAGATCCCACTGTAACAGCATAGTGAGACAGCGAGGTGTAGGCGCTGGCTGGCAAAAAGCTGGCGGCGATTTACACCTACCACAACAAGGTAGGTAGATACTACCTACATTTCAGCCACCTATAGACGCCAACAAAGTCCTGCTGGACCCGCCTGTGAGATGTTTAGGTTCTGTCTTAACTCGGCCGGTCATGCTCGCCAATCCTGGATAGCGACAATTTGGTCGACGTCGAAGTCGTAATCTCGAACGACTGCGTCTATATAGCGGGAGTTTCATGATTTACAACCTTGAATCGGCCACATATAGGAGAAGGCGGTGAGCTGAGATGAGATAACTACCTGTTAGGTGATAATAACTATCTTCTTGCCAGCCACGTGCTGGTGGACGACCGGGTTGGGGTTCCCAGCCCCCGGGTCATCCCTAGCCTGTCAGGACATTGAGACAAATGTCAATAGTTTAGCGGTGGTGTATCGATAGCATAGTAAAGTTGATGGGCTGTATATAAAGGAATGCGAGGTGCAAGTAGCTGAGAGAAATAGCGAGGAGAGGATGGTGGTATTACCTAGCAACAGCCAGTTACATCTGATTTGATAGGTATCTAAGGACGTTGGCCAGGTGTGAGGACTGAAGATTGGCTTAGCGCCATCCACCCGAATGCGAACGGTGAAAATGAAATTGAAATGATCTTGCTGGGTATTAGATGTTGCAGCTACCTCTATCGCGACTGAAGGAACCAGATTGGGTTCGAAGTTTTATTACCTTTGCGCTGCTCAACGGGGCACCGGTCCGCTACGGCAAACAGAATAAGTACCCAGCACGTACCCCATCTCTCTGATCGCTGCGACTTACACCTACCTACGACAGCTCGGTTGCGAACCTATCCATTCGGTTTCAGAAATTTGTTCTCTTAGGTTAGGTATCTCTCGTCGAATGCTACATCTTTGCAAGGCAAGAAAGCTGTGACTTCTGCTCGTTGTGTCTCCGGATCACGCACCTTCCGCACGCACACACATGCACCAGCCGCAGGTAGCATTATTTCGAGGTTGCACCAGAAGGCTTGAAGCACTATCCTCATTGGTTCCTACGCATTACTGACTACCTCAGAATATTCTACTACGTACCCAGTAGGTATTTTATGAATGCTAGCATCCTAAGAGTTAACCTGTGGAAGTGATACCTAGACATTGTGCCCTATGATACTAGAGCTTAGGAGGGAGACCTAGTGGTCAGAGTACTACTAGGTAGCTAGGGATACGGTCTTTCAATCCAATGCAACATCAGTACAATGCTGTCTGTGGCTAGTGAGTGTGTGTTCGTGCGGAGCATGTGCCTCAGAGGCAACGCTACTCCTCAGCTTCTTTGAGTCCCCCAGATGAGATCGGTAGGACTGGCTCGCGAGCTCGGGGCTGGGAACACCTGCTCAGGAAGGACATGTGGACAGCGGGTAGACCATATCCTCTGTGTGGCTTTTATCTGGGTACTACCCTGAGTCACTGCTCCTACTGAAGACCGTCTGTGGCTCATTATTGCTTGTCGTTGGTTGTAGTCAACTCGGATTCAAAACTTTCCTTTAGTGACTACCAGGAACGTGAACACAGTCATGCGAGGTGTTGAACATTGGCAACTCTTATACATCGATTAGAGACAGCTGATCCGCTTGCCATGTGCTAGGTATCGAGATCGACTATAGGAAGTCCTAAAGTGCTGTGGGACATACGGCTAACGAGCTGCTTTGGTAGTACCTAGTATCTCCGTGGTGATCATCCGGAGACCAGATCTTGCGAACAGCGAAGATATACTAGGTAGAAGAGAACGAGGACGCAAGTGATAATCCGAGATATTGCGTGTCTCTTCAATCATCTATTTTCGCATCCAACCATATCGAACAGTGTCACGACATCCAAGATACACACAAGGCAGCCGGAATATCCCCATGATGCTGATGATGCTTGGCGACATTACCTACTCCCGCTTCATCTCGTGCTCTAGATACATAGTCTATCTCAAGTCGCATCCGGCAGCAGTACTTGGCAAAAAGCAAGAAATGTTTGACACTCAAGTCATCATCAGCACTGAGAAGCAGGCAGTGTCTGTTTTAGGCTCGATCGGAAGCTAAGTACAGTAGTGCCGAAAGATTGCTGCACTCGGAAAGAACATTCCCTTGACGATTTCTTGTGCTGCCCGATATGGCCTGTTAGTGCCAACCGATGCCTGCTCTAAACTCAGGTCGGATGCTTGGCACTCCTCATCTGTAAAATACTGTGCTGTTGTTACAGCTCAGTGCATGGCGATCACTTTGTATGAAATTCCCAGCTTGATGGCAGTCTCGCGTGGCTTGTTTTCGAGCTCACCTGTCTCACAATGTCACATTAGTGCTGTGGCACTCCTGGGCCAGCCTGACGACACTCTTCAGCCTCACAGGGATCGGAGTGGAAGTCCTTGCGCATGCCGCTATCGACGCTGAAAGATGTAAGATAGATTTACTGCGGCACATCGGTGACAGTCCAGCGCATACCAGACTCGCGAGAAGTGAGGGACACGAGAAGTGTGGCTTGGCGGTTGTGTCGCTCTTATGTATCCATCGCTCTCAGCTTTGGCTCTCGAATGATCGTTACAGGTACCAAGGACCTAGTACTTGGGGGCGCGGCGCTTCGGACCCTCTGATCGCTGCTATACCACCGAGTACTGAGTCTACTTTGTGCCTCGATATTGTCCTACTACATAGCAGGTACTAGTGGTTCTATTCAAGTCCATGGCCTGAACCACCCAGAATCTTCTTCGAGATTGCTCGATGAGCTAGAACAACTTCCGCATTTTGTTTAGGCCTCTCGAGCTCAGAAACACAAGATGGAACCTATCTACTGGCGACTGTCCTTTCTAACTTGTCTTTCCACTTCTCTTTCGCCTCCGATCACGGTCCACATATGCGACACCTAGTACTCATGCGCGGTACTATCGCCATTCGTCGTGGTCACATCTTATTAAAATGCTGACACACACGAAACATAGGTATTCTTTTACTTCAGGTCCACTTGTGTACATGGCAGGCTTCGCTTCGGACTTTCAGCATGCCCACAACGAGTTTTGTATTTTGCTGAACACGATGTGGATGCTCGAAGCTTGCCTCACAGCGTAAGCATCACAGAAAGTGCAAGAGCAAAACTTCACTATTGTGATCTGGTCCCAAGCTTGTATAGTATTGCATCTTGATCCCGTTCGTTGCTACGACCACCTACCTGGCAGGTACATCGACCCTGTGTGAGCCATCCTTCATAGTGCCGTCGACCGGTATCCTAGCTCCAGTCGCTTAGCTCATTCCATTCGTAGCACGCCGCTGAGCGTCATAGGTCGGCTCGAACGTTGCTTGGGAAACTCGATGCACAAGATGTTCGTTGTCGCCGCTCTCTTCGACTTCAGAAGCTCATTGCGTTGCTGCATAGAAGTCAGTACGTACTACCAGCTGCCGCATCTTCATCATCACGCACCGCTCAAACTTTTACCCCAATGCATACCTACATGGTCTGCTACGCTGCAGTCAGACCTTTCATCGCTTCCCCTACACTCTAAGAAATTTGGCTTAGTAGGTGTGTAAGGTAGCTCAGGGTGATGCTATTCCGCGAGCTGCTGAGTTACCTAATCAATGTAAGGGCTAGATGACGATGATTCAAAGACTTCAAGACTTGAAGCTGTAGGGCGGAGCGGATACGACAGCAGCGTGGGCTGTATGCGGTAGCAAATTGTATCCCATTTATTTATTGTCTCTGGTATTGTCCGACACTCGTCGAGGTATTGTTATGAACCGCTCCGAACGTCGGGTCCAAACTGGGTTTAGCAGCTGGGGGGAATAGTATCAGGGTCAAGGCTAGGCCAAAGTAAATGTAGGAACTGATAGTAGCAGTTGTACTACTAGTGTATAGAGCGAATCAATATACGAAGTTAACTACGAGAGTCCTACCTAGTGTCGGGACGGGTCGTCCCTCTATATAGTCCTGGAAAGATATGTAATGCTGGGTCCTGCTGTGTCTACTGTGCCTGCCAGGGCCCCAGCAGACCCATCACACCTATCGGGCCCAGCGCCTGGGTCACGTGACATACACCTTCCCTTGGGGTCGGCTAACCTTCCCCTATGTCTTCGGGCCGGGCGTCACCGGTGGCCTGCAGGTCGCGCTGTAGCCTGGGTCGTAACACTTTCCCCCTCCCAGTCTGTTGCGTCCTCACATACATAAGGTCAGTGTCCGCCTGTTTTGTTCTTCGTTCTTTATAGCTCACCATATCCAGTGACTGTGCCACCAAACATAGCAAGACCTCGTCCGAACGTCGCAAAACTGCTGCTTTAAAA